CGTGCCACGGTGGATTTTCACGTGAAAAAGATTTGAAAATAGCACTGTAAAATGATGTCAGTTACCGTGTCACGGCACTAGGCACCATGCCACGTCATGACACGGTGTTTTTATATTGTGCGCGGTAATTCCAATTTTTTACGAGTTTTTAAAATTGCGATAACTTTTGATTCGTAACTCGAAATAAGGCATATAATATACCATTGAAAATATTATTTAGTATACTCTCCAATCCAATTAAAATGAGGTCATAATCATTTGCAGATTTTACGATATGGCTGTTTTAGTGGAAGGGTGTCGGTTTTGGGTCGAGTTTAGTGTTTTGCTTATATCTTTTTCGTTATGGCTCGGAATTGGGCTTATGATACCTGGTTGGAAAGATTATTTCAAGGCCTATCCAAACAAATAATAATTGGATCGAAATTATATAGACATAAAATTAGTTCAGCTCGGTTTTGTGATGTGGATACGAAAAGAGGAAAACAAGTTATGGTATAAGGAAATGAGCTTGGAAATGGGTTGGTTTATGAAATGTATTAGATAATACATGTATTTAAGCACTCCAAATATTAAATACTCAACCCGACCAATAATGGCGGTGAAAGGTTGTTCATCATCGAGTTTGATTTTGGGGAGACATTTTTAGGTGTCTACACCTAGGATGTGGAAGATGGTCATAAAATAGCGGAAATTGAAGACAGATGCAAGCGTGGTAGTCTTCAGGCGGTATCCCCTGGCTTGAGGAAGATCATCACAAACCGGTTACTTCAGAGACGTGTGCTCGACGATGCAAGACACGCGTTTCTTAACTCTTTTATCTGTTTAACTAACGCTAAGCGAGTTTGAAGGTATCAGTGTTACAAGAATGATTTAGGATCGCAGAACGTTCTGAGTCATTCTCCGTCCCTATCACTACTTTGACTTTAGTTTTAGAAACATAAGTTTCTCCAAACTTAGTCAAAGTGGGGGCTTCTGTAGACACCTAATTGTGTCTCCCCAAAACCAAACCCAGTGTTGAATTCTGTTCACGTCATTTGATTATCGAACAAAGTGAAAGTGTGGAAAGTTTAGTGATGAGGATGTTTTTATTGAAATATTTCTCTTTCTGTTTCAAAAATATTTCTTTTCTTACCCTCTTTATGAAAAATAGCAAGTCCAATTTGTTTGGTCCACGATAAGGATCCAATAATAGTGTAGTTGGATTGGGCTCGAAAAGAGCTTTCCAATGATATATTATAAGCCCAATTTCGATGAATTATGAGAAAGTTATGGATTATATTAAATTAGGCCCAATGATCTAGAGGAGGGCCTATTAATTATTTTTCCTAAAGTGATTAGGATTGAATTTAGTCTTCAAGGAATATCTAGAAGGTTCTTTTTTATTCTAATGAGGTTTGGATTAATAATTATATTTATAAAGATGTTTTATTTTGAATAAAATATATTAAATTTGATTTTAAATCTACTTGGACGCATAGTTACTTGTAACCGATTTTAAAGGTAATTACGCGTGTAAAAGCGCGTTCTATTTTTGAACCAGCGCGATATGACAGAGTCATCACCTGGCGTTGACTTTCGTCGTCTGGAGCTGAACTTCGTCGCCTGGCTACAAGACTGTTGTCTGGCGTTGACTCCTATAGTTTGCGACAGGAGGTATTTTTTTTCCGAATATGATTTTCTTTGATCCCTTGCTATTTTTTTTTATAAATAGGGGTTATATTTCAATGTATTCAAGTCATCTACATATACAATCTACATATACATTCTACACCCATAATTCTATTCTCTCTCTCTCACTAAAATCTAGAAACACCTAGCCATGTTCGAAGTTGCCTTCGTCCTAGACGTGAAAGGTTTGATATTTCATAGGGTTTGGTCCCAAATCTCTATTTTAATTATTTAATTTAATTGTTTGTTTATTATTTTCCTTAAAGTTACTAACGTGTGTCTTTTGTTATTAGAAAGAGATACGAGGCATCGAAGTAAGTAATTTAATTAATTTAGTTATTGATCTTTTGATATAGAAATCATGCTTAGATTATTTTGTTGATTCCTAGTATCATGTTAGGATGTTTTAATGCTTCCTAGTATCACGTTTACAGATAATTAATATTTATAATATCAATTATGATTATTATGATGCTTCCTATTTGTTTTCTAATATCATGTTAGTATGATGTTAGGGCTAAAGATTTGATCTTGATGTTTAGTGACATGCTAGGGTCTGTTATTATTCTTGTTAGTATTATGCCTAGGATCTTGCTATTACTATTATACTTTAACATGATTATTATGATCGTGATTATTATTTTTTAATGATTTATTGTGTTGCTTGAATTATAATTATTATTATTGCTTGATCACAGCTTTTATGCATGTTTAAAGGGAATTTGTACTTGTAGTCACGCTTAATAAGATAATTAATAATCTTGTTTTTAGGCTAATATGATTGTAATTTAAGTGATCGCCAATAATAGATTTATTTTTGCATTAATATTCAACCGACATAGTTAAATAGGTTTATGGTAAACCTATTGATTGCATGTTAGTTAGAAAGCGCATATGAATATGAGAAGAATAAAGTAAAGGCCTATTTTTAAGGCACATCCAATCTCTTTTAGGTTGGATTTGTACCTTCATCCCCGAACTTCCAGTCATGGTTCCAGACCTATTGGAGTTAACGATCTCCTGGATCGTTAAAGGGTTTAACCTTCAGTCCTTCACCCTGTGAATGGTTTACAAGTTCCTAAAACTTGTTGGCGACTCTTTTACTCTAGTGTCCTTCCCTTTGGATGCCACCATGCTTAAGTTTATGATCACAGTGGGGCTCAAGTGTGAGATGACTTGAAATATTTCCTATAACATTGTAGTGTAATCTGTTTAGTTTTGTAACATATTATTATGATTCTTCTTACATGACTTGTAGTAATGAATGAAAATATCCAAATTTCAGTATACCAAGGATTTTTTCTTTGTTGTTCATTATTCTAACAACAATTGAATTCATAATAATTGTGCCAACTGATGTCATAAACATTTTAAATACCTTATTATACTTCTAAACTTATTTTTCTAAACTTGTAAATGCCTTTTTATAAATCTAAACAGAAAAACGGAAATATCTCTACTTTTAAATAGCCTTAACTTGTATATGCGTTTTTTATAATACATAGTAGTTGAGAGATTAAATTTAAGATTGTTGTTGTTCTGTGCTTAAGATAATTGTTACTCGTATTGTTTGTCTTCATATTGCCAAACAAAATCACCCTTACTTTAATTGCAGCAACTATTTTTGGATTTTAGAGTGGTATACTCCCAAAATAATCGCAGTAATCAAAATAATCCAACGCAACCTTATAAAAGTTTAATGGTACTGTTACTTCTTGTGGTCAAACCCTAAAGAAAGGTATCGAGTTTAATAATTTCTTTTAATTGTATGTTTTAAGTGTGTCCTCAAATTGTAACATAATGGTCATAGTACGGGTTCTATACACCTTGAAAAGAGTTTAATAATTTTTTTTTATTGTATATTGTAATGGGTCCTCAAATTCTAAAATACTGGTCATAGTGCGGCTTCTATACACCTTGTAAAGAGTTTAATAACTTCTTTTTATTGTATATTGTAAGGGGTCCTCAAATTCTAATTTGTTATGGTCAAACCATAAAGGTCATAGTGGGGGTACTATACACCTTGTAAGGGGTCCTCAAATTCTAAGTTGTTATTGTATATTACCCATATTGGCCTGAAAAGAGTTACCAATCTATAACAATTGACAAATTATTGTAAGCCATCACCATCGTACACTTACATCAAAATCAAATGTCAAACTTATAACAATTCTCAATTTATATGCATCATCATAATATACTACTCTAATCACACTGAAATACTCTACTCACATTCATATACTTTTTACACATTCATCATTCACTCGTCTATGTATATTAAAATGGCTACATATGTTTCTTTTCAAGTGAAATGGTTACATATATTACCTCAACTTAAAAATGTTCATTGTTCATTTATAAACATCTACTAAACATATAGTACCCTAAAGGGTTTATGCACAGCTATGAACCTCTAGATACTTACATTCTATAGCGGTACCCTAAAATTTATGGTACCCTAAGTACTTTTTGTTGGACCCTTTGGAATTATGCAGTGTACCCTAGATTAGGTGTATGGTACCGATACTAGTTTCAATGGTTCCTATTTTCACTTGGTGGTACCCAAACTAGTATCAATGGTAGTCTAAAAGGTCCCCTGTTTTGTAATAGGAACTAGCACCTTATACAATGAAATCCAATTCAGAATCCATTTCAATAAATGCAAATGATCCTAAAGCAAATAATCCATTTCAATTAAGCCTAAGGCTTGTGAAACCCATACAGAATCATGTTTCCAAACATTTACATATGTATACCACTCAAATGTACAAGGGTCTCATTATCCTACATTAGGTGTAGTCTAAGTTAAACAATAGCAGTTTCAATGGTCTTAATTAAGTGACTATCATGTACTATTTGAGTATACTAAAGTTTAACTGAAACCACATCAGTATGTCGGGGTCCAACTATAAAAAACGACAGAGTTTGGTGGCGGGAGTATTTGTGTTTGTGGCATTAGCGCCATTACTAGAAAGAACATTCATATATACTCTACTCCCAATCCAAAACAGAGTTCCAAAAAACACATTGTAACATAAAGTTACTTAATTACACAATTATCCATGCACAAAATTTAAATTAAAATGGTGTTCAACAATTTCAAAGTTCTAATCATCAATAAACTTTAATTATATTCAATCCATACTAAAATTGTCATATACGTTCATAATTCAAAAAAAAAACAAAGAAAACATACTATATTAGAAACATAATCCATATTTAAACTAAATTAAACATTCAAAAAAGCACCAAAAAACAAAAAAAAAACATAATCCTTATAAACAATTCCTTACAAAAACAGGGGAGGAGGCTTAAACCATGTTTAAATAGTTTCAAGGAGAGCGATTGAAATCATCACAGCTTGAAGAGGAAGAGGAAGAGCGCTCAGTGCCAGAGCCAAACTCGTATTGAGAAAACGAGTCGTCACTAGGCCCCTGTGGCTCTTCGAAGTCCATCGCCATGCCATAGAAAGGATCATGAAGCTTGACAGCATCATCACCAGCGTCGTCGTCATCATCATCTTCTTCAGAATCCTCCCAACACTCCTCTTCTCCCTGTTCCTCTTCCTCTTCCTTATCATTAGCATCTTCACCATCACCATGTTCCACTAGTGCGGCTTCAATATGTGGCGCTTCCATAACTGGTGGCGCTTAAGCCCTTCCCGCCGGTGCTACCAGAACCTCTGCATTTTCTTTCTCCTCTGTCATCTCCCTCTTACTACCCCCTTCATCAACACCCTCTGCGCTCTTTTACCCTGCAATCTTTCTCTTCACCCAACAGTCGTTAACTCGACTTTTGATTTCTTCTAGTTGTCGTTCCTTCTCAGCACAGCGGTTGTCCATCTATTTTAATTCCGCTTTAATATACTCCACCCTCCTCTCTACGTAGCTTTCCTCATCCTCTAAATGAACATTGGTACTGGATGAAGCTATTTTGTTGTTGTTTGCCATTTTTGGGAAGAAATTAAGGGTTGATTGTGGAGAAATTTGGTGAAAAAAGGATATAACAAAGGGTATGAAATGGGAAATTAAAAGAGAAGTACTGTATTTATGTGTTAATGGTGATGTAATTGAAGTGTGACGTTTGGTGCAGTAAACGAAGCAACCCTTCACGCCAAACAATGCAATTATCTATTAATTGCATTTTTATGTTATAATTTTATTTCGTTTTATAAAAACAGAAATGTAATTATATTTCAGAAAATATTACGCAAAATTATTTTATGCTACGTAATTAATTTGTTATTTTTTTTAACATGCAATTATTACTTTAAATTTCCAAGACAATATTTTTTAGCATAATGTCAAAAAAAATTTAAACTTAAGGGTTCGTTTGGCATCGTTGTGGTTTTCTGTTTTTTTGTTTTTTGTTTTTTAAAAGTGTATTAAATATGTCACATAATGAATAAAAAAATATATAGACTTATTAAAATCATGATAATTCTGAAAACTGACAACAGAAAAGTGGAAACACCTTTTTCTTGTTTCCTGTTTTTGGTTTTTGGTTTTCAAAAAAACAAAAAATTGAAAACAAAAAATGATGCCAAACAAGCCCTAAAGTAAAAACTTTTTAACACAAGTTTTGTCACAATTTTTTTAACTTATAGTATAAAGTTTTATGACAATTTTCTTAAAACATAAAGAAAGTACTAATTCACACTAGTCGTTACATTTCAAATCCTTAAATTATTGTAATGAACACGTAACATCAGTAGTTTTGGATTAATGTACCCTCTAATAGTAGGGTATTTTTGCACCATTACACATTGTGCAACTAGAGTATAATGTCACATTTTTTTTAATTTATATTATAAATTTTAACACAATTTTAATTAGGACACGGCAAATAGTAACGATATTTTTTTATCACAAATTTTTTCACAGTTTTTTAAACTTAGAATATAAAGTTGTATGACAATTTTTAATTAGCAAGTATTAATTCACACTAGTCGCTACATTTCGAATCTTTAAATTATTGTAATGAACACGTGACATTAGTAGTTTGCACCATTACACATTGTGCAAATTAAGTAGATCAATGAAGGAGTCGAATTACATACCAAATGCTCAACTAGGACAACTAGGATTTGAACATCACAAAAGGGGGTGTTGAAAACAATGTTCAATACAAATATTATCCCTAGACTAGATGTCCGAACAAGCATAGAAGAGTTAGTTGAAATAACGCTCAATAATACACAAGAATTTAACATAATAAAGCCATACTACAATACGAAACAAATAACACCCCGGAGGTTCTCAAACAAGTGACCATCAAAACAACACCTCCCAAAAGAGCAGCTAAGCCGCTTGTACCTGAATTTAGTCACTAGCATCTGTCGCTGACGAAACCTGAAGTCGGGCTGAAAAATGTCCAAAAATTTATGCAGTCGTCAAACTTATACGTGTTAAATAAAAGAGCATGTATATTGAACAACCAAAATAAAAGTGTAAAATGAAAGTGGTCTATAAAAAATTAAATAAAACAAATAAAAGTATGGCACTATAAAAAAAAAATTTAAAAAAAAAGTATTGAATTTTCTAGATTAACATGAAGTACAAAAATTTTATGAGGGTCCATTTATTAATGTTATAAATAGAAAAGCTAGTATTACCATTCTGAAATAATTTGACCACTACAAAATCTTCTTTGACCACTGTAAATTCCCAGTGTTGCCTTAGGAAACAATAAGTTTAATGTGACATTGGCCTTAATTACATATCCTTTTAATTTAATTTATCGCCATTTCAACCCAAAAATGTCATATACCACTGAAAAAAGAAATAGTACCATTACATCATATTATGCCAATCCTTTTAATTTAATCAATTACCATTTCAACCTATAAAAATGTCATATACCACTTAGTACAGAAATAATATCGTCGCTACACCAAAAAAAAGTATTATTACCACTGAATTAAGAAATAATACCATTAACTAAATAATACCATTAAAGTATATTATTATAAGAAAAAAAACAGTAGATGTAATGGAAAAATCATGCCAACTTTGTTAAAAACAATATACTATTGTGCAATAAAACAATCACACTAAAACCTAGCAATTAGACTACTGACGAATGCAATTAAACACCTATAAATCATCTACTTGAAAGTAACACAAATCAACTAAGTAACACAAATTAACTAAGAAACACCAAAATTGAAGGAACATAAACTTCAGGACACAGTAATAAACAAGGGTGTGTAATATAATTCAAGGAGTAATTACCTCAATGGAAACACCCATCTTAATTGTGACCAAAATATCTTTGCCCCTCTTAATAACCCATGGGAAGGCATCTCTCTTGGCCCAAATTAGCAGAACATGACTGTAACGGTTCACAGTCCCAAATGCATCAACACTATGTACTCCATTTAGTATTTCAGTGATATAGTCGAGCATTGTTTGATCAGCCCTAGCCTTAGTAATTATCACAACTTCTGGAGAGAAGGCATAGAAGAGTTTTTTAAATGTCTCTTTGAAAGATGGTCGGTGGATGTTTCTAGCATTCCAAGCAATAATAGCGGAGCCTATAGGAAAGCATCCAAAACCAGGAATATCGTCGTGTTGATTACCATACAAAGAAATGCGATGGTACTCCACATTCAGGATAGGTGTAATGCAGGTGAACACATTCACCTTAAGTAGCTTGGAAATTCCTTTCACCTCCATGACATGGATGTTGGAACTCTTTTCCCTAAAGAATATGTGTCTTTCTCTAATAGGGAGTGTGTATATAGGAAGAAGGGCAGGGTTGAAATATGGCTTCATATCGAAGAAAGGAATTATCTCATGTGGAACAAAAGGACAACCGTCTTTCTTTGTTTTCTCAAAGAACAACTTAGCGAAGGCAGCTACCCCCTTGTGGAGATAGCAATCCAAACAAGAAAGGAGGGGGTAATAAGCTGGTTGACAATCATTATCACCAACTTCCATGACACTCTAAGGGATGAAGGTTATAGTCTTGTAGTTAAAAGAGTTCTCAAGCTGGTCACGAAGTACACTGTTTGGTACAGGGGAGGCCATTTGATAGTAGTCCATGTGGTTAGCATAGTATTCAATAAAGATAAAATTAATCTCTGGGGTAAGTGATGCAATGAATGGAGAAAAATAAAAAACTGGTTCGATGGGGTGGAGATGCATTTCCTTACTAGTAATGCTAAAAATTTGCTTAATGTTGTTCATGGTTTCTCAGCAAAAAGTGAGAATTCAAAGAAAAGGAGGTTTATTTTCAAGGGGAGGTAAACGAAGTGTGATGAGTTAAAGGTTTTTAATAGAAAAGGAAGGGTAAGGTTGGGTTTTTAAAATTTCTTTTACTAATTTTTGCAATATCCTGGGGTAAATTTTTTTAAGATAACCAGTGTTGACCCATCACCCACTTCTGTGAAAAGCCTGCTACAGTTGAGTGTGGTAAAAATTCTGTTGTACTACATTTTCCGTAATTGACAGGGTAATTCCTACTACGTAGAAAACCAAAGGGCTTAAGGAAGGGTAGTACACCCTAATTGTGCTGACGTTTGGCTCAAGGCACCACCCCTCTCTGGAAACAAATCTCCCCCATATCTTTTCATACTAAGCCTCTCTATTTTTTTCAAGAATGTGTCCTTTGGAGCTATGAAATTATACCACCCACCATCCACACTTTCAAAAGTAAGAGATTTTCATAAACCACTCAACAATGGGGAATAAAGGAAAAGATTGAATTAAATATTTCAAAATTGGGAACAAAGTTGTTGTGTTTTTTAATTTTTACATATTAGGAACTAATTTCATGTATTGGTCTTTCTTGGTCTTTGCAGTGATAAGGAAAGAAAGACAGGAGCGGAGGAGAAAGAGGGTCTTAAAAAAGGTGAAGAAACTCAAAGAAAAATGGAAATCATGACGTGAATTCTGTTATAAGGAACTTCCACATGCCAAAGAAGAGCAGGGATATGATGTTTAGTCATCAACTGGCAACTATTGCAAGAGGGGGTTTAATTGATGCAGTAAAAGGTATTGACTTTCATCTCGATAATTCTTTCTTAACAATGTTTCAAATTGGGAGGGCAAGACATGTTCGCAAAGAAGCGTATTGTTTTATGTTTTATTTTGTAGATGTTGCAAAAATTGATGTAAGCTTCAACTAACGAAGCCTCTTGAAAACTATCATGGAATGTATGGATACCCAGTGTACTCTAAATATTTGAGGTTGTTTTTCGAGTTGATTGATGACAATAATGACGACTGGTACTGTAGGAAATATTTCAAGAATTACCCCAAACTTGAACCCCACTGTGATCATACACTTAAGTATGGTGGCGTCCAAAGGGAAGGAAGCAAGAGCAAAACTATCGCCAACAAGTTTTAGGAACTTGTAAACCGTTCACGGGGTGAAGGTTACACCCCTTAACGATCCAGGAGATCGTCAACTCCAATAGGTCTGGAACCAAGACTGGAAGTTAGGGGATGAAGGTACAAATCCAATCTAAAAGAGAAAGAACCTTCCCTATTAATAGGCCTCTACTTTATTCTTCTCGTATTCATGTGCGCTTTCTAACTAACATGCAATTAATAGATTAACCTTAAACCTATTTAATCTATGTTGGTTGAATATTAATGCACAAATAAATCTATTATTTGCGATCACTTAAGTT